AACTTGGTCCCCTTTTTTCGGCGGCCGCCATGATTCCACCCCGTCTTCTCTCTTTTTTTGGGGGGGATGGCTCCCTAAACAAATCGACACCCCCATTGGCAACGTCACCTCCCTGCCCCAGATCCTCAGATGGCACGGCCGATTTTTTGTGCCCAGGGGCTCGCGTTGATGAGGTTCAGGGTCAGGGCCTCAGCGTACGTCCCTCTCTCGAAGGCCCGGGGAAAGGGAAGGCGCCCGTCACCCCACCGGTGGACCCCATCTGGGTGTGGCGATCAAAATGGTTCAACAGGAGGGGTTAAGTCCGCAGAAGTTTGGGCAACCATGTGCCCACTTGCCAGGGCAAGCCATTTCGGGTACCGTTTTTTTGAGCCGCAGCCATCGATTTTTAATCAAACTAACCGAAAAAAAGGACACCTATGCCCTCTGCTTGCTCGCTCGCTCCCGAGCACTGCTCGGGTGGTGCAAGGAACACGTTCCAGCTGCGTCTGTCGGCTCAGTGGTGCTCGGCCATGGCGTAGTAGAAACAGAAGGAAAAAAAACGGTCGATTACCAGGGGTGCTGCTCCCTGGGTGAAATCTGGTTGGAATCAGACCACTTTTGGAGGGGAACACCCCCACCTCGTAATAAACTGGGGTTGATGAATATGGGTCAACATCAAGCACTCGCACACGACACGGAAACAAGGCAGTAACCAAACTGACAGGCCAAACTTGTGCTTGCCAAACTTGCCAGTAAAATGCAGCCGCATTCCTCCATCAAACCCGCGGCGAAAGAACAAGGGACATTCCCCACTGAAGCATCTGGAGAGCCAAGCCCATTCAGCCGCAACAACAACCAACCGAAGACAGATCTAAGTCCAGAAGTGCGGTGTTGTCCTTTTGGTCGGCTGCGAAATAAGGACACGAAGGCATGCAATGCTGTGGTGTGCCGCTGGAGGCTTTTCAGGGTTGGTTCAAAGGGAAACCATCCTGACGGGTTCTTCATTTTGGTTGACACAGGAGGGAAACCAAGAAAAGCGCTTCTTTTTCCCAATCGGGGAATTCCTTCTTTGGGTTTTCAAGGGAAGTCTAGGACACCCCCCCCACTTGTTTCCCTTCTACATGTTGCTTTTTCTGGGTCACCCCTTTTTCCTGGCTCCAGGGAAGCGCGAGAACCCCGGGCCCGACGGACCGGAATCTGTCGATACACAACAAAAAAAACCGACCCCCGCCCCACCTTTTCGGGTTTTAGGACACCGGCCACACAGGCCACACCGGCCACAGGGCACCCCTGGGCCCCTCCTAATGTTGAGTCCGGATTGCTAAACCCCTGTTTATTCATATGGGTCCCGGTGTCCCCGGCTTTAGTGATGATTCATCACTTTTGGAGAGGAACACCCCCACATTAATAAACCGGCATTTATATTCATCCGGGGTCAACACTACCGCAGAGTCTCTGCCGCGGCGCCGGCGCGGAGACGTGGCCCTCGACCTTCTTCTCCAAGAGAGGCGAGGACAGGCCGCCTCGCGCGTCTTTGTTTCGCACGTGCGCGGGAAAGGTAGGGTCTCAAGATTTTGTAAGGAGCGAGGGGATGAAAGTTTTTGTTGGGGGCGTGGACACCAGAACAAAAATTTCAGGCCTTGCCCAAACCACTGTTGAAGGTCTTCCCCATTGAAATTTCTGGAACAATCACGGGAGTGGTTCTAGAACCCTCCGATCGACTTCCGTGACAACTCCCCAATGAGCAACCTGAATCACCAACATCCACAAACAGCCAAACACGGCCATAAACCTGTCATGCCAAAAACAAAAACATGCATGGCTGTGGGTTAAAAATAGGTATTTAATATGGTATTGTGGTAAATAGAAATATGAACTAACACCTGCGGTCCACTAGTGGTTGAATTTTGACCCACATCAACATTTGAGTCACAATCAAAACCCGGTATTAAAATGATCTACCCAGAACCATGCAAAGAATTAAGAAGCCGGATATCCGCAGCTATTTATGGCTGGGATTGTCCCTTTTTCTAGCCTTCACCAATCCCCGGGTTTTGGTTGTGGCTCATTTGTTCCAAATAAAAACCTTGAAGAACCTCCCCCCCTTCAGCGCTTCTCCGACCGCGAAATTTCCACGCCTGAGACGGCTGCGCAGCTCGAGGTCTGAGAAACCTCCTGCGAAGAAAATCGGCGCTGGGCGCCGCTTGAGAATGGCAAGCCCCTCGCTGCTGATAGGTGTCCTTCTTGGGGAAATAGATGGCCCTGGTTTTGCTGAGAAAAAACCACCAGGTAAGCCAGGAATCGCCACCTATTATTCGACCAAAACCACCAAACAGGACACCTGTGTTCCTGTAAAAAAGGGACCCCCCAAGAGCTGCAGCCAGAATGGGTGCTCCCATTTCAGGGCCGCACCACGCAAGAAGGGTTCAGCTTCATGCTTGTGAGCGTTGGTGTCCTTGCGGTTAGCGGAAGGGCGCGAAATGGATATTCATAAAGGCCGCAGTCAAAAGGTCAACCCTATCAACCCTGAATAACATCAGCAACTGCCTTCCTTCCTGAGCAGATTGGCCAAATGGACCCGACCCCTGATTTTTGCTTTTTTGAAAAGAGAAAATGAAGGAACCCAACACTCATTTGCTGAGATGGGCCGCAAGAAGTCCAAGGACTTTTTGCTTACCACTCAAATGCCCATGGGTCAAAATCCCGTACCCTCAGTGAACATCCCAATCCCACTAAAATAGACTAAAATGGGTGGTGCACCTACCCCAAAAGCCGCTCATTTCGGAGAAAAAAAGAAAGAAAACAAAAGAGAAAAACTTAACCCTGGCCTCATCCACGACCATCACCACGGTGCTGCCTCCTGAGCATGTGAAGCACAAATAGATATATGTGTATATGTGTAATTACTCCGTATATATATATATATATATATGCATGCATCTGTATGTGTGTGTGTGGACATATGCCCAACAATCTTACCGCGAGAAATCGTCGAGGGACCGTCAAAAGTGGACACCCTAGATGTGAAAAACGGATAGCAACCATTAAAACATGATACCCTGTACCAGTCCTTACTAGCTGCGGACAATATAACTTGTTCCGACAGTTCTGCCACATGCATGAAAACGGCGCATTTCTGAGGGAAATATGTGGGTAGTCTTGCCCATGTCTCTCTCAAAAGAGAAAAATTTTGCATTGACCAGCTCAATCATGCTGATCAGCAAGTCCCAGTTTCAACCCAGTTTTTTGGAACTTACTCGCCAGGGCTTTTACTTCTGGCCGACCAATGATTTATCCAAAAAGTCCAGTGCCAAGTTACGTGTTCTCGCCGGGGAGCTTTCTTTTTGGGCAACTACACAACAACGTGAAACCGGCGGGCTTCTGAAAATAACAATGGTTCAACAAATGATCCCAAGTCATCTCCCAGTTGCCCGGGATGCTGCTAGCAAAAGAGATGGAACCCGTTTAACGGAATTTGCCCCTTCACGGCAATGAAGCACCATGCAGAAAGGGATCTGCTCCGGGAAAAGGAAGTCCGTGGTCCAATACCGGGGGCTGTCTTGGGTTTCTCGTTGACCTGTACCAAAAAATGGCCGTGGGAACACTGCGGAGCCACATCGCCGATCGTCGGAATCGATGTCGCCTCCGTGCACCATGGCGCGGTTGGCAAGCGCCCGCGCTTTTGGCTCGAAGCGAACGAGATGATCTTAGGGTGAAAGTCCGGTAGAAGGACCCTGAGACCTGCCGGGTGCTACTCCCATGAAATCAATGGGACGGACCCAAATTTGGAGTACTTAGGTAAACAATGGTTTGTTGAACACCCACTGTTTTGATGATGGTAACTGAACCCCAGGGCAAAAACTGTCCTATTGTTACTCCATGGCTTTGGAGGCCCACAGGAACTCATTACTTTGGAGGCCTACTGTTCAGACTGGGACCGCTTGAAAGCAGAAAGAAGAGGGGAACTGCATAGCATGTTTGGCACTGCAACTCAGCCGTGTGTCATTCCTCTCCTTGTGTACCGGAGAGCATGTTGGCCAGAGTCGCAAGGTGAAATGAGAAGGTAGGCCAACATGTTTAGACCGCTGGTCGAACAAAACTTCAAGAAGCCTTGAGTCTGGTTGTTGAAACTAACTTTGCAACCAACTCTGGTTGGAAAAGGCGGAAGCCGCTCGCGCTCAAAGAACAAACAAAGGCTACGCGCATGATTGTGACTGAAAGCCTACCTCAGTCTAAGTTCATGCTGTCTTGCAGCTAGGGCCAAACACTGCGGATGGGCGGTTTCAAAAACTAAACCCTCGTTTTGGATGGGGATTGAAACAAAAACCAAAAGGAAGCCAGCCTTCAAACCACCCCAGTCTTGAGAAACACCCAGTTGCAGCCAAAAAACCAGCCACGGTTTGAAGATTGTCGAGTGAGGGCGCAGGTCGAACGCTCGCATCTCTGCAAAGAAGCAGCGCACCCCGAACACATCCCTTGAGAAAGTTGAAAACAGACAAATTGTGGAGGTGCGGACGGGGTGGTGTGTGTTGGGGGGTAGGCAACATTGTATGTGTACAGCATTTACTCCTCGGGTGTGCGTCCAAATTAAGGGAACCTCTAAAATGAGTCTTCTTTTTTTTGTGGTTGCCCTTTTTCTAGCCCCAAAGCGGGGTACCCTGAAAAACTTATGCTCCATGTGGTGTAAGGATCTTACGCATTCTCTTTGAACAGCCCACACAGTCCTTCGCTCGCACTTTCGCGTGACTGTGAGCAGTGGATTTCGACGCGTTCTCTTTCTACCATCGACAGGTAGAAGCCTGGTCAGCTGTGTTCGAACGAGTGTCTTTTCCAAAGTTAGGCACCCCTTGGACATCATTTTCGTGGAAATCTTGATGTCCACCAACCATTTCGGAGGGGTTCCTCGGTCAATTTTTGCCAAAAACTGGCGCGGCATGGGGAGCTCTGCTCCTTCATCACCCCAAGAGGAAACTCATCCTCAAGGCCTTGGGGGGATCGATCAGGATCACTAAGGCCACCACTCTGCTGTTGGCATGGTCGTAGACCGTGTAGTACTTCCTGGCCACCGGCCATGCTTTGGCCACAGGCTTCTCTCTTTGTTCGAGTGTACCCAACTTTTGGTGGGTTTTAAATAGCAACCAACAGGAACCTCACTATTTATACTATTTCATAGTGGGTCCCTCAAAAAAAAAAACACGCACACCCATCTGATGTCTCTGTGGAAAACCTTCTTGGTGCATCCAATCAAAAGAAGGCCCAAAGTGCCCCATGTCTCGCCCCTCGGCTTCAAGCGCCAAAAAAAAAAGAAGCTTCCGGCTCGCAAGAAATCGCCCTCAGGCCGAGCTGCTGCAGGAATGGGATGCCGAAGACGAAGAGGGGGCCCTGTCAGGGCGTAACATGGGCGCACGGGCGACGGCGGTCGGCCACAGTCTAAGCGCGGAGAAGCAGCAGCCCTGCTTGTCCAAGAGTCAGGCGAGTGTATGCCATGTGGGTTTGTATACAGCTAGTGATGCCCCTAAACTCGTGGTTTCCCTTTTGGGTTGCTTTTCAACCAACAAAAAAAACAAGCTACCCAGAAAAGAAGCAATCCACTTCAGAATAGCTCAGTTTGCTTGAGTGGGCAGGCAGGTCCAAGGGGGGACGGATGGCTCAAACAAACACATCCAGGCAGCTGCTGCACCTAGATCTACGAGAGAATCCCCTCGCAGAATGCCGGAGAATCCGAGGAAGAAACAAAGGGGACAATCCTCCGGCCATCCGGCAGTTTCGGTTTCGATTGGAACCTGTGCTGGCGGGCAAAAAAAAAAAAAACGGACCCTGATTGATGACGGTGAGGGTGCGCAGCATCGACGTGGGGATTGAGTGAATGATATACAGCAGCTTCCCTGCTAAAAGTTGAACTTTTAGTGGGCTAAATGGAAATCCCCACTAAGCCCTAAAAAGCGGCCCCCTTCCAGACATGAAATTCCAGCCGGGTGTGTCCCCTTGGCGTGTTTTTGCCGGCGGGCTCTCCGGCCTTCGGCGGCGGCACGTCCAAGCTCATCAGCGACAAGCTGCAGCTGCCGTAGCCCATCTGACGATGTGAAGCCGCAAAAGCGTCAATTGGGTGTGTCTCCAAATGGCTGTGGGTCAAAATAGGAATCTCCCAAAATGGGTTACCCTGGTAAATGAAAAAGTAGACTAAAACCTACGTAACCCTGGGTCTTTATTTTTGAGCCACAGCCAAATGGAGGAAACAAGCCAAAATGAGTGGCTCGCCATGTGGAGAATGGCAGATGGATTTCTGAAATGTCCTGCCCAAGTACTTGTGCAACAAACATGCCTCCCAACATAGGCTTGACCAATGCATGCCCAGAACTGGGACCCTCACCCAAACAAACAAACAAACAAACAAACAAACAAAAAACCAACAACGGGACATGTAGGAGAGGGGTGTGTGGGAGTGATTCATGCTAATTCTCAAGCCAAGGCTCCCAAAGCCTGAACCTAGACTTGTCATGAGTTAAACTCCAAGCGCATCCGCGCACGAAGAACCAAACCAGATCCCTCCGCCAGAAACTTGTCAGAGGTACCCTGGAATGCTCGACATATCTAATCCCAGAAAGGGCTTTGGGATTCAAGTCTAGAAACCTCGAGGTGACAAAGGATGACTTCCTTTGGGCCATTCCAGGAACAAATACGCCACCCGGATGGAGCTAATCAATGGATCACCTGCTTCACCACATCTCTGCCACCTGGAAGCAAAGCAAAGCCGCACCTTTCAAAAACTCGACACAGGAACCTCCGACCCAAAACCCAGCAACAAAATAGTTGGCCTTTGACCCCACCGCCGAAGAAACAAAAAATGTCACAACACAAAACTGCGGCGGTTGGTTGCACACACTCTCCAAACCCCCCCCCCCATCCACTCTGAGACTCTGCCCAAACCCACAACAAAACTCCTCTCCCCCTCTGAGTCTCTGCCCAAACCCACGAAAAAGTCCTCTCCACATGCCACTGGGAAGAAGAAACAACACGCGAAACTGCGGTTGGAGCTTGAGCTCGCTCCAAACCCCCCCCCCTTTCCCCCCTGCCAGGTCTTGAGGTCTTGAGCACGCGAGCTCGCTCGAGTGAGCACGAGCCTCAGAGGTGTAGTCCCTTGGGGACAAGCTGAGGATCTTGGGCTTCCCGTTGGGCCCCCCTGGCCATCCATCGATCCATCGATCGAGCGGCACAGCTCGGCACGGATCGGCACGCGGAGGGATCCATCCCCAAGGGCAGGTGGAAAAACACAGACATCCTTGGAAGTTGTTGCTTGGCTCGACAATAGAGACAAATGAATTAACTACGCAGGTTTGAGTCTACTTGTGCCCATTTGCCAGGGAAACCCATTTTGGGGCCGATTCCCATTTCTGAGCCACAGTCAGGTAGGTTGCTTCAGCATGAGGGGACGGAAAACCCCAAAAAAATCACGGCTCAAAACCCGCCACGGGGGAGCCGCCTCTTTTCCGCATCCGTTCCAGAGGCCCCGCGGGTTCATCGGCTACCCGTTTAACGAGGACCCGTCGGGATCGAGCGCTGGGGGGGAACGAACCCCCCCCCCACTTCGGCCGGAAACAAAACCCAGCCGCCCAGAATTTTGGGGCTCCCTTTTTTTCCCTTAAAACATCACCACCAAGGGATACTCACCTTTCATGGGCCAAGAAGGTGATGTTTAAAACAGCCAAAAAGGGAAATATAGGGACCCCTGACAATGGCGTACCCGCCCGCCCCCCCAGAAAAGCAAACCCAAGTTTGGGGGGAGTCCCCAAATTGGGTGGCTTGTGGTCTTCCGCTTCAACCGAGCCTCAAAAAAAGACACACTCATTAGCATGGGGAGTGGGGTAGGGCCTACTACCATGTCCTGACACACGCGGTAGCTCCTCAACCGCTCCCTCTTAGGCAAATTTGGATGCCTAGCTCCCGTCCAACCAGCTAGCCGATTGGATGAAGTTGGGTTTTGGTTGCCCTTCCAATTGGAAAGCCAACATTGGTTGACATATTTATATATATATATATATTTATATATATATATATATATTTTTGGGGGGAGTCCCACCAACAATATGGCAAGAATACGTACGCCCAAGTTGAAACAAACCCATCTAAAGACCCTTGTACCCCAAGTGGCTCAACCGCAGAACCAAGTCTCGCCGGCGCCGCGCACCGCAAAGCCCAGCTTTGGCATGGCGTCCTCGCGCGGGTCTGGCAGCACGGCCCAAACCAGGAACCCCTCGGCAGGGTCGCTTCTGTATCAAGCAGTACTGAGAGGTGTTGCCCTGTGGGATCCGGATGCATTAGACACCTGAACATTGCCTTGTAAATGGTGGTGTCCATATATGTTGGTGGAAAAAGCCATGTTTCAAATGGGCAAAATGTATCTTTTAAGGAGCCCTGTGCTTTGGAAGGCTGGTGCTTGTGTCTGATCAAAACAGGAGAAACCCCTTCAGCCAAACGGGCCAGGCGGACCTGAGGCTGAGAAAGAAACCAACCAGCGGGGAAATCCCCCTGTAGTGCTAGACTCCCATGAAAAACCCGCCAGGGCAAAACGAGCCAACTACTCCGTGCTAGATTCCCATTCAATCCCACCGGGCTTGAAACGAAGCAAAAATGGAGGTGTCCAATGGGCGCGAAGCGGGCCCACACGCAAAACTCCGATCGCCGGTCCAGATTCCCGCAGTCCCGGGTGCCCAGCAGCCTCACAGCCAAAATGTTTGTCCGTTTCAGCGGGGACCCGGGCGGAGGTACCGCGGGGTTGCCAGGGTTTTTTTGTCGTTGAAAACCACACCACAAGAAAATGCATACAGTTGGTGGAAGAAATCCTGTACCACTTTGAATCCATGAGAAACCACTGTTTGCTGCTATTTACAGGGGAATCATCATTCCAGGGTTTCTTAGGTGAGTAGGGTGCCTTGTTCCCATTAAAGGAATGCCCTGGGACTCAATTTGGATGACAGTCCTGAAGCGTGAACAAGGGTGAAATATGAACCCCACCATTGTTGTAATGGTGATAACTGAACCTCAGGGTGCATGAAGCACACCCTCAGACTAACATGGAAGCTCCCAAGGCCGTAAATGGAACCAAGTCTGAGGTCCTGGGAGCTTCCACTAGGTCCTCCAGTAGGGCACCCCATTTTTTCTGTCGATTTTAGTGCCCCGGGGGCACCTCTTGGTACCTAGCCGGGGGACCTAGTCCATGTCAGTCTGGATGGGTAAGCTGTTTTAATGGTGGTAGCTGAACTGCGGGGTGCAACCCCCGGACTTTTCACTGTGGGTCTGGGTCAAAATAAAACCACCAGAAATTGGACCGCATGTTTTAGTCTTTGGTTCCATTTACCAGGATTCCATTTTGGGGACGCATTTTTGACAACCACAGCCATGTTCAGGGCGGCCCACCGCGATGCCTTCGGCCTTACGACGAATTCTTCGCGCCTGAAAGAGATATCAGGGATCCCTGAAACGGTAGAGCTGTGTTTTGGTTTCCCTAGGGCTGGCAACTCCTTCCCTAATACCATCGACCCAGAAAATTTGTCCAAACCAAAGCAAATAATTTCCCTGGTAAATGGATGGCCAGAACGCCCATCTAAACCAATGGAACCCATCTTTTTGTCCAGAAAACGTGTTGTGCGCGGATTTCATCGGTTCTTGCCCCTGCAGGCAGTAGGTTCTTTTTGAGTACACTTCTAGTACTCTTTTCATACCCTACAGGGGTGGATCCACAGATTCGCCAAATCCAAACCGTTTTTTAGACCTGAAATCCTGCACCACTTTGAAACCATGGGAAACCACTGTTTGTTGGTATTTACAAGGGGAATCATCCCTCTAGGGCCTCTTAGTTGGTGCAGGAAGCATCATTCCAGGGTGTCTTAGGTGGTGCGAAATGGATTTCGTCCACACACAGTATGATCCGAATGCTTGGACCCCCAACTACCCTCCCCGCTCGTTGAGCGCCGAAAAAAATAAAACATCCGGGCCCTGGGCTGCTCCAGCTTGGAGATCACGTCGGAGGGCCCTCGGAGGTTCGCAGCCGAAGGTGAGATAGATGCGATGCAGAATTGGTTCATGCAGAATTGTTCGTGAATCCATTCATCTAGCCTATTGTTTGATTCATTATGTGTGTTTGGTTTTTTTGTTGTGAGATTTCTCCAATTCTCTACGAATCTAGTCATTTATCCTCGTATCTTCCAGATTTCTTGTCCAAGGAAGCGGGCGGGCTTCCTCCCCCCCCCAAGGAAAGAAGCGATCTGCTCTTCTCGTACAGACACCCGCTTCGAGGGGAAGTTTGGCCCCTTGCCCGCGAGCACGCAATCCGCTCACGCAATCCGTTTCGCCCGGCCTCGGAAAAAGACTCCTCTGCTGCCATAGCCACCCCAAACGACCCGCAGCCCTAAAGAAACACTTCCGCGTCACCTGAGTCACTTGCTCAAAACCCGGTACAAAAATGGTCGACCCAAAACGGCCGCAGCTATTTTTGGCTGGGATCGTCCTTCACTTACCCGGGTTTTGATTGTGGCTCACCTGCCATAGCAAGCACTTGCAGCTTCCCATTCCCCACCTGCCAGCTCGGAGGTGCCGGTGTCCACGGCCACGCGGCAGCCCTTGCAGATGCCCCTCGGCGACTTGTTCTTCTCGCGGAAAAGGAAAAAACAACAAAAACTTCCGGCGGAAAACCCGCGGCCCAAAGTGACCCGCGGAAAACTTCACTTCGCGGCGAAGGAACGCCGAGACAAGAAGTTCAAGAGTCGGAACCGGAAAAAAAGCGGGTGGGCTCAGGGGCTTCATGTCCAGCTGAGTTATTGAGTGGAGGGAAGAGGCGGTGCCTTCGAAGAAAAAAAAAAAAAGCGACGGACGCCCCGTCCGTTGTCCTTCAACACTCAGCCCCCGACCGAAGGAAACTCGCTCACTCGCTTCAAGAAACCGAGCCATCAAGGTTTGGAGGTGTTCCGGGGGTGTCCCCAGAACCATCAAGTTCTATCCAATCCAAGTCCACCCATACCACCCAGGGGGAACCTGACCCAAAGGGCGAAAATGAAAAAAGCAACCCCTTTGCCATTTGCACTAAAATCAATTAAAAGGGGAACCCCTGACCCAAAGGAAGGATTGTTGGAATGAACGTGAAACTGCAATGTTTGAGCCTGAGAATTCTCCGACCGTCCCAAATCCTCGAGGCGTTCAGGAAGTTTGTTTGGTCCAAGTACCGACAAACCAATGTGCTACCTGCTGTGGATGGACGAAATCCTGCACCACCCAAGAGGCCCTGGAGGGATGATTCCCCTGTAAATACCAACAAACAGTGGTTTTCCCATGGTGTCCAAGCGGTGCAGGATTTTGTCCATCCACAGTACAAGGGGGATGGGTAGTTGAGCGTCCTGATTTCCTTAGATTTCCCTAGGGTTCCTTGAGGTTCCTCGGAGTTTTCGTGGGAAATTGACGTGCCCATGTCCCTCCCAAAACCCACCAAAGCAGGATACTCTGACCGAACCTCATCTTGAAAATCGGGTTGTCCGCCCCTGCCCACCCCACAGTAGACTACCTGTCCAACGTGGGTCTGTCTTTTTGTTGAGGCATTTCGGCCCCATTTCCGAGGCACACGCCTCCCAAAGCAATGGGGCTCCGGGCTGGGCTTGCGAATCCAAATAGATATCCTCAATGGCCACCTGCCATGTCAATGAGTGTTCACCCCAAGGTGTGGTCAGTGCCTTGTCTCATCAGCGGCCCGGGTGGGGTACTTTAAAACCGAACTTCGTCATGACAGGAGCAAACTACTACGTAGTATTTTTGATTCGGCCCTCGTGCGCTAGCCCAAACGATGAGAAGGTGGCATGCCTGAAGACTCGAAGGTCCCCGAAATCCGAAAAGGACAACCATTCTCTGCCATGGGTCAAGGTCTTGGTAGGCGGCATCCTCTTCCTCCCCGGTCTCTAAGCCCCCCAGACACAAGGCCAGTTCACCATCACCAAGCCGTGAAGCACCAAAGCAAACTCAACAAATATCCTCTCCCTACGCAAGTCCTGCAGAAGATCTTGTGTCATTGTACTGTCTACCCCTCAAGCATATTTTGCTCTGGCGCTTTCCCCTGCCTTTGATTCTGTGTTTTCTCGGTTTGCCCCTGTTGGGCTTGGTAGGGACGTCCTCGCTGAATCTCTCACTTCGACCGCGGCTAGAGCCTTCCTTTGAAACATGCTTGTTATCCAGTTGTGGCAGGAAACACCAAACACCTTGCCCTTCTCTTGGTCCGACTTCGGCTTCGCTATCTTTCTGCCTGTGGTCTATGTCCACTTCAACTGGGCTGCCCTGCGATCCCCTGCTCAAGTGTTTTGTCTTTTTCTGCCTTTTCGTGGGCTTCACTGGATGGGTTCAATGGAAATCCCCACGAGACCAACTAAAAGAAGATGAAAAGCTCAGGAACCGGGGGCCTGGGCTTGGCACCAAGTCAAGGCTCAAATGCTTCCCATGCGGCACTCTCAGCCACGCGTGCCTTCATCCTAATGTTGACCCCGGAGTCCTAAACCCCTGCTTCTTCCTATGACGGTGTTTTTGGCTTCAGTGGGGATCTCTCAGGTTTGGACTTTGTATTTTTGCAAAATGACTTCTTACATGTTTACAAAGCTGTCCATATCGTGGTAATTAATAATTTACACGATCATTATAATAATCATTTCATTTGTCACTAATTGTGGATAACATGCAATTATATATATATAAAGAAAAAAGAAGGAAAAAAGCGTGTTGTTAGTCAAAATTAAACGGACAGCCCTGGGCAATCCGCAATGCGAACATCGCCTGGTCAACTCCAGGCTGGGGGAAGGTGGGTCGGACATCATATCGTGAGATTTGCCGATTTGCATATCCCTTTCAAAAGATAAAGGTTGCATCCGACGAAGAAATCAGAGCCATGCCATCATCCACAAACAACCCCCAGGAGACCAAGAACCCTAAAATATGAGGGGCGTTCACCCCAAAGGCGCACGAATCTCGCCTCCGGGAACCTCCGCTACCCCGAACAAACAAAAAAACAACCAACAGAACCTCCGACAAGTCGGTGGAAAACACCCACCAAAGAAACTCAAGATAAACAAAAAGCCAAAATCCGCCATGCCGCTTCATCCTCCACCATCCGCAAAGACACGTCAAGAAAAGGATCAGTTGTTTTAGGTTGCAAGACCGCAAAAAAAATAGTGCCGCTCTTGGATCCAAACAGGAAACAAAGAAGAAAAAAAAAAACCAGCGGACTTCTCGGTTTTCCCCGAATCACCCCGAAACTCCCACGTGCAACACCCAGAAAAAGGGTTTTCCCCCGGTTTCCCCCGAAGCTCCCCACGTGCGACCGCCCAAAAAAAGGATCAATCCCCCGGCCGGGGCCTCCCAGTACCCGGCATCCCCGGACACGGGCACCCAATAGAGCTCCGAGGCCATGTGCTCCTCGCACAAAGGAAAAGAGCGAGAGAGCCTGGTGGCAACAGCCCAAAAAAAGAATCCTGAAAAACCCAACTCTGCCCTGTGGTATCAACAGTCCTGGTGGTGGAAGGCGAAACATTCGTTCGCCAAGTTGTTTGAAGTAGGGACAGCAGGACTTGAACCTACAACCTCTGCGATTAGAAGTCGCAGCGCGCTGCCATTGCGTCATGTCCCCCTTCTACACTTGAGTCATCAACAGCCCAAAACGAACCTGTGGAACCTCTGGAACTCATAGCCATACTTAGCAAAATAGGAAATGATTGCCCGCCCAGAAAAGTTGCAGTTCATAGAAAATCACAATGACCCCTTGCTAAGCGTACAGATTTGCGCATCTGCAAGCCTCGCTGTGTGTGTGTGTGTGTCTGTTTTTGAACCATATACGACGCCAAAACAAGCCAAAAGACATGGGTGTGTAATAACAATGATAATAATAACTACTAGTAATAATAATAATAATAATACAAATAATAATAATAATAATAATAATAATAATAATAATAATAATAATAATAATAATAATAATAATAATAATACTAATAATATTGATAGTAATAATAATAATAATAACCATAATAATAATAAATAATACTAATACTAATAATAATGAATAATAATAAATAATAGTAATACTAATAATAATATTGTTAGTAACAATAATAATAATACATTTAAGAAAAAAAAGGAACATAAAATCAAGGGTACCAACTCAACAGAGACACACCATGGGGATGCGGATTCGCCCAATGAAAAGGAGTCGGACCTCCGCACCAAAGATTGAGCGAGCCCAACCTCCAAAACAAGACACGCCCTAAATGGGGGCAACCCCCAAAGGTCAAGACAAGTGGTGCTCTTTTTTTGTGTCCTCTTTCACCAATTGCACCAACTCCGAAGAAGAAAACCGGCAGACACTTTGCGCCACGAAACCAAACGCTCGCGCCTTCTTCACATCCCCGAAGGTGATCTCGGAGCGCTCCGAGTCCGAGTCCGAGAGGAACACCGAGAAGATGGGCTGCCTCAGGCAGAACCGTCTCCATTTCTTGAAGTCCCCTGGAGAAAAACAAAAACATGTCCAGCAGTGAAATCGCTTCCCTTCAACACCAACAGGCTTTAGAATCAAACACATAATTCATTTCAGCTAATGGAAGCTCCGAGCTTGAAGAAAATGGGGACCCGAAACGGTCCCGACGACCCACATGTGGGTCGTTGCTTGACCTGGGCGGGGAAACCCTCTCGCACTGGGCGCCCACGCTTCAGCATGCCGCTGCTGGACATCAAGTTCATCACTGAGAACTCGTTGGACTGGCACAAACCGTGTGGGAACAGGAGGACTGGGAGAATCGCCCTGGAAAAAGAAAAACTGACGGGAGAATCGGTGCGCTGGGAAAAAGAGAAGCTTACACATCTCTTTTGCTTATGCTTATGTTGGGCAAGCTTGGATTTTACGGGCTTTCTGGCGCAGAGAGAAGACATGGCGGCTCTCCTGTTTTTCACCTTGGTGAAGAAAAGGGCAGCAAACGACTACTCCACTGCTGAGGGTACTTTGCGAACTCAAGCGTCACAATCTACACACTTGCTCTGGGCTGAAGACAACAGGAACATCTACTGTATGCGGGTGTCTTTTTTTGAGGGTGCCTTGTTCTTTTTTTTTAAGTTTTTCAAAAGGAAACCACAAGGACAACCGCAACTTTGGGGTCCCCTAAAAAAACGACACCCCCATTTGGTAAAAATTATGTGCCTGGTGTCCAGCAAAAAAATGAGTGACTCGATCTTGGGTGCGAGACCCAACGAACTACGTACATCTCACAAAGATGCGATGAGAGCTTATGACGAGTAGCCCGGTGATCGGTGTTGCACTGCGCAAACCAAGGCAATGCGGCAAAACAAAAACTAAAGCAGGCCAAATCAAAATGAGCATACACTACAAAGCAGCCAGACAACACTTGGCAGTACCCCGGCCAGGATACTGTTAGAGAGACGCCGATGGGAAACCGCCCATTTTAGGTTTTTGTCAGGTTGTACGATCCAGGGTTGCGTCTGGCTATAGCCTTCCATAAACCACCTACTGCTTCTGTTGAAGGGTTTGTCGGAGATGAGGGTGATATTCCTTCATATACATCACATGCCCAAGACTAACCCCTTCAAGTGGGTGTTCCTCGAAGTAGGGTGTTCCACTCAAACTGGGCGGTCCCTTGTGCCTGCAAGACCATCCATCAAGCGGTCTTCCGTGCTGAATCCTCGTCGGGCAGCCTCGAGCGAGCCCGCCTGCGCCATGCCGTCGAGCGCGAGGCCCAGAACTCCGTCGAAGGAAAAGGAGGCGAAGGGCGTGTAGCTCTCCTCCTTGGAACGGGTCGATGGATGTGAGGGACAAACTCTTCCCAGAAAGGAAAAAAAATGGGACCAGAATGTTAAGGTGCCTAAGGGCCGGTTGATGGGAGGGACAAACTTCCAGAAACAGGAATTCTGTGGGTCCAGAATTTCAGAACGGTCCCAAAGACTGCTTGAGCGCGCCTTTTTAGCGGTCGTTTTCGTTCGGGGGAACTTGCAAAGCTCCCGAAGCTTCCCTTGGAGGACTCTCATGGCCTCCCTTCGCTCGGCAGTCCCCAGCCCTCCCCAGCCCTCCGGAGCCCCGGGCCACGGAGGAGATGAAGTTGCCCGTGGAGCAGGCCGAGCCGATCTCGGCCGCACGCGTTGGACGGCGGTTTGACGGGGACTCGAGCCGTTTGGCTCGAGGCCGAAATCGGGTCGACCCAGGGATCGATGCATCTGGTGGGGAGAATACTAGTCGAGTCTAGGTCGATTTAAAGTGGTGAAAGAAGACTTGGATGTTCCAGCGACTTGGGCTATAGCCATGGTTGTAGCTTGGGTACCCGAAAATGATCGCCCACTGATCATCATGGCACTAACTTACTAAGTGGGTTGAACATCCAAGTAGGGGGGGTGTTTCCCCAGATGGGACACCCCCTTATGTGTCAACGATGGATGTGCTTTTCCTGGGCTTGGTGGGTTGGCTGTACCACTTACAGGGGCCCCAGTCCAAAAGGACTGCAGATCATTTCGCCCCACAACAGTCCTCCGGCTTTGACACATATGTGTGGTCACATTCACACCCAAGTCAACGATCCCCAGTCAGCCACGGCACAACACATAAACGGAACAAATATAAACTGAAACCGAACAAAACAAACAAGCCAACCAAACGATAGACGATAGACCAACCAACCCAGCCATCCATCCATCCAAATCCAAATCCAATCCGATTCCCAAACAAACAAACAAACAAACAAACAAATGGGTCCCCAAGGCTCGGCCAGCAAAACCCATCCACATCCTAAGGTGGCCCTGGCACATGTCTCAGGACTTCAACTCGGTTGCTGCAACGACCCCTCTACAGAAAGTTCTTAACCTTTGTGGGTCCGATCAGGAAAAAAAAACGGCTGTTCTCACCAAAAAGTTCTCCAGTTCCTTAGATACGTTACCAACTGGCCATAGAGTCGAGAGCAAACCCCGGGGCGCCAGGCCAACGAAACAGGCCCAAGGGACATTGCCAGAACCGAATCTCCCTAAAAGCTGGCCCCAAAACCACCCCCTCCCCGCCTACCGGGGGCGAAAAACAAACATAGCTTTCGGCTGTCGACCAAAGAACATCGAGAAACGACGACCGCTCCTTGCGGCGTTCGACCAACCTCCCGAGGTTGGTGTTTTGTTTTTTTCTCTCTGGGCTCCCAGACGCAGATGGAGTCTGAGAAGCATTGCCCCGTGATCTTGCCCGTGCCAAAGGTGATGGTGATCTCGTCCTCGCGGGCTCCGCGTGTGTGAGCAGCCCGAACACCACCACCGTAGCAACTGAGAAAAGGGGGAAAAGCCGGCCACGCGAGTTTTACAAGCTTCACAAGTCCAAACCCCCCAAAGCCCAAAGGGTTCTGACTTTGGCCAACCACCAGATACCCTCAAGATGAGGGATCCGGACCCCAAGGAGTTCCGGCAGAGCAATGTTTGCGGCTGGAAACCATGAAGGCTCGGTGTCCAGCAACCTGTCTTGGTAACCTTTCATTGGTTTAGAGTGGCGGTCTTGGCAGGTAGAACCTCTGGTTGTTGTCTACAGTCAATATTCTTCCCCCCCCAACCCCGAACCCCCGGTTTCCTTTGACCTTGCATAGATCACTTTCTTGAGAAAAAGACATGTGTATACTTGGGGCCTCATCGGAAACAGCTCATGGAGAATGTTGTACTCGCCTTCTTTTCGGGTGTGTTCTTGGCTGCAAATGGGTCAGTCTTTTTCTTGAGGTTACCCGCTTTTGGTGGCTCTAAAGCAAAAAACCAAGAAATACAAAACACAAGCTTGTGGATCTAACAAAATAACTCACCCAAATACACTCCCCTTGGGCCGCACCCCCCGCACCGCCCCCCCCCCCCAATAAAAGAAACGAGCAACGATCAAAAACACTCTGAAACCCCTGGCTCCCTCGCCGGTGACCCGGTCCGGCTCCATGCTGCTCTTCACGCCGCTGCCGTCGCAGTTGATGGGCTTGATCTGGCACCCACCCACCCACCCACCCAGCCCCAGCCACTGGCCTCATTACTTTACCATGATCAAAGTCACCCCCGTGTGGCGGGACAAAAGGGAAACAACTGCCCATTTTCTAACTTGGATATCCCCCAGAAACCCCGTCAAATTCATGGCCCCAGACCTGCCCCCCACCTTCTCGCGGACCGGAGCGAGCCCATGCGTCCAGTTTCCTCGTTGGAAATACACCCCTTGGTGGCCAAGATATTTGTTTCCTCCGGAAGGAAAAACCCCAGCTCCCCTCGGTCCCGGCCTCGTGGCTCGCCCTCAGGCAACGCTCCGGTCAAGCAAACGGGCACACAAGAACACGAGTACCCTGATGTTTTTCTCCACCCCCCCCGCCCCGATGTGTCCCCACCCACCCACCGACCCAAACAAAAAAAAAACATCGATGTTTCTCCGCCCACACACCCCCCCCCAGAGGAGAAAAAATCATTTCAACCTCCTCGCCTAGCGGCCGTTAGCTTGGGGTTCGGTCTATGGGCCCGGAGGGGCCAATGAAGGCCCGCCCGAAGAGCCAAGTCTCAAAGCATCCTACCCTGGAAGAAAGAACAAACCGATAGACAAGCAGCACAGACAAGAGCCAGGCAAACGAATGGTAGTTAGGAACGTGATATCCCTTGTTCCCGTCACTAAAAAAATAAATTCTACATGAACCTTTGAGAAAAAGAGTAAGGAAACGCAATATCCCTTTCGAGTGTCCCGTTTGAGCCACTCTAGAGAGGGGGAAAATTGGTTGGACACCCACCAAGAAAGCGCAAAAAAGTGCACCGGAGAAAAAAAAAATAAAAAAAAAAAAAGGACACTTCACGCTTCGGCGCTCGCTCGCTTCCGACTGGATCCGGGTGAGCAATCAACATCCATCATCCTCAGCTAGGCCCGCGGCTGCTGGTCGAAGCGGCGGTGGCTGGTGCAGGCCTAGCAAGCCACAAGGAAGCACCCACCGTGTTGGGGGCCTAAGGCACGAGCTCCGAAAGGCAGCTCCGAAAGGCTTGCGGCCGTTTGTTTTTGGAACTCCCCGCTCCGGAGCGGCGGGCCCTTCCAGCTACAAAAGGAGAGCCAGGATCGCCGGAACAAAACCAGGAAAATTTTGAGGAACTGGGAGGGTGCTTCGCTGCTACGCTTCAGTCCACCAAAGGTTGGCCAAAGTTGGTTGCTGGTTCCCTTTGTGGGTGCCTAAACACCACCAAGGTGTCTCCTAATTCTGTGTGGACGCCTTGTTGTAATTTGATGGTGCTCATGGGTACACTCGTCACTCTGAGAACTATCGACTCTTCCCAATGCCCAGTATGTCTTTGGGAAAAGCGCTCAAGCAAAAAAGGTATTCCTCCTGTTGCAGGTTCCATCGGGAAAACAAAACAAAAAAAACGAAAGGCGAACCCCGAGAACTGCGAAGGATAGCTTGGCGATTCACTTTGGCTTCGCCTTGCCTTCCACAAACCCTTTGCCACGGGTTCCCAATACCCCCCTGAGAATCACAAGTGCCAGTCTGTCTACAGCTTGAACTCTTGAAACAAATCCTGCCCCACGCCTTTCACTGAAGAACCCCCCCTCGCCCAAAGCAGGTTGGCGTTGGGTTCTTCCAACAACAAAACACATATGGCCCACCATAACCTCACGAAACCAGGCGGAAAGGGGACCTACGGGCCGTTTTCGGAAACGCTTTTGGGGTCGTTTCCGAGCCCAGCCTCGCTGCCGCAGTTCTTGCCAGGCACCTAGGAATTCCCTGCCTAGGAATTCCCCGCCGTTCACTTGGAATCCCACCAAAAAAATATGGGTTCCGTACAGCCCGGGTTGGTCTTTCAAATAGGGGAATCCCCAAAAAAATCCTAAAAAGGGTGCACAACAACAAAAAAGTCATTGGAAATCCGCAAAGCGTGGGACTGGGAAGGGGAAACTCCTCTCCGGTCTGGGCCCGGCGCTTGTTTGCCTCATCAGTTGAAGGCTTGTTTCATGCCAATGTGTTTTAGGCTGTGGGTCAAAAATATGTACCCAAAATGGAATCCTGGTAAATGAAAAAACATGGACTAAAACCTCGGGTCCCCTGGTGGCTTAATTTTGACCCATCCCTTTTATTGCCATTTGGGTCAGTGTGTGTCTATGTTTGTGTCTGTTGGCGGATCCCCAAAGAAGAGGGACTTTTCAAGAAAAGGCACACCCATTCCGGAGCTGGTTCTCCACATCGAATAGGCTCACTTTCTCGTTGGTTTCCCAACAACCCTTGGTACGGTACCCAAAAACATACTTACTTTTGTTGGCAGCCCGCTGCCACAAGTAAACAGAACCAAAACACTACAAACCTCAAAACATGCCAATAATACTGAAGCAAATCCAACAGCACTCGGGAAACGCTGGGCCAATCGGTTCGGCAGCGCTTGGCTGGGCCACCCCGCGATGAGATTGCCGCTGCCAGTATCAAAGACCACCGTGAAGTTCTGAGGCGGAACCGTCGTCTTGCTGCTTGTGCTTTTCGGAGCTGGTAAACCTTCTTTGTTGGGTCCCAAAAACAAAACGAGACTGAACCGATTTTGACCCATCCCCACTTATCCAGACCAAACTAGGTCCTCCAGTAGAGAGCTTAGAATAAGGGTACCAACTTTTTGTCTGTAGTCTATTTTAGTAGGGGAGCCCTCCCAACCAAAAAAGGGGCACTACTGAGGGACCTAGCAAAGCAACTCAAAGGAACCAGCTGGCCGTTGCGTCTTGCGCCGCGCCGTGCAAAGGTCAAAACCGCCCCGCCTGCGGGGGGTTGCCCACCTGGCGGTGCCCATGGCTCACGAGGCCAATGACTTTCGAGTCAGAACCAAAAGCGAAAATGGAAGTATGTGTGTGAATATATATATATATATGCAAATCATCTATACATATCAAGTCATTCACCCTCACCCAGCTAAAAACATTCATTCTCTGCACATGAAGGCCCGTCCCCGTTTCGGGGCCTTAGGCGCGCCTGAATGGTGCCAAAGTAGGCCATCTTGTGCTGCGCACCAGAGCCATGGCCCTGCCAGCGGTCAATGGCGACGAATCCGAGACATCCGACCGAAGCGCGCGCGAGTCACAATATGAAGCCCATGGGAAAGAAACCATCACGTTTGTTCGTACGTTGGGGAATGGAATTCCAGAATTCCAGGGTTTCTTAGGCGGGTTCTTAGGTGGTTGCTTAGCTGAAGTGGTTTCTTGAAGCCATAAACTTTGGTATTTGCAGGGCTCGTGTTTTTGAGCATTTTGCGGGTGGTGCAGGATTGGAACCCACAGTGGGTTTGGAACCCAAGAAGCCCTCAATAGGTTTGGAACCATCCCTAAACCCAGCATAAAGAAAACCTGGTAATTTAAATGATGCGGAGGATGTTAAAACGATGCGGAGGCTTAACCTACCCTAAACGGACTACCCCAAACCTACCCTAAACCTGCCCTGAACCCATCCCAAACCTTTGTCCCCCGAAGCCAACCAACCAACCAACCAACCAACCAACCAACCAACCAACCAACCAACCAACCAACCAACCAACCAACCAACCAACCACCTCCAGGCTTAGCCCTGCGCCACAGCTAGGCAAAAAAAAAAAAAACATCCCCCAGAAGCCCCTCAAAAAAAACACGCGCACACATACACACAACAAATAACAAAAAAACAACACCCAAACAACAACAAAAACAAAAAAACACGCTCGCCCGCGCGCCTGGGTGTGCTTGCCCACCACCCGCTTCTCCAGCGCCAAGGACACGGAGCTCTGGCCGGGAGCTGGGCTCCCAAAACCCCATCCCCCATGTGCATTGCCGGTCCGTCCCTGTTTGCACCCTTCTTCGGCATGCCAAAGAGAAACCAACCCATTTTACGGCGTCCATATCCCTTCGAAAAAACACAAGAAGAGACCGAAAACAAAGAAGCAAACAACAGACACCTATGTACATATATATATATATACATGTGTGTACTTTTTCTGGAAAAGGAAAAACAGAGGAAAAAACAATAAAAACATGGAGAGCATGTTCCAGCCAAGAACCCTGACAAACCGATAGCGGGAGGAGCTTGCGCGGATCTTTCTCATAGTAGGGCAATGAGGCCATGAAAACCCCTCTTCTTGGATGGTTGTCAAGCATGCATTTTGGGGGGCGCTCTTGTGGGGCCAACCCTCTTTGAAGGAAATCGAAAGAAACCAAAGCCTTGGTGGTTGTGGTGGACACTTAGTGATTTTCACGACCGCGTGAGGGCCTCTATTTGTTGCACTTTAATGAATCCACGTCCCCCAACGGAAAAGGAACCCTGCCAGGGGTTGAAGGGGGTCCCCAATTTAAACCTATGCCTTGGTGGAAAGCTTGATTACAAGCTTGGGACCCTCTTCCCTTGTTCCAAGCCTGCGTTTGATCCAACATTCTCGTCAATGCAAGTGTCCCAATATTCGCCTCAAGCACCACCTCAAAAAACTGTTTGGGGTCCGAAGAAGAAGAAGAAAAATAAGGAGAAGAAAAACGTGAACTCTCCGGAATGGGTGGAAACCCTTGTGTGTCAAGACATGCCCCCACCTGTGTGGCGGCGGCACCGGTGAGCGCGGCCGCAAGGAAAGCGTTCGCTAGGCGAAACATACTCCTAGGATCCACGTCGAAATTCAAAGCCACAGGAGAGACGTTGGCTACCCCAGAGAGGTTCAGTCCGAATGCGACCAAAGCCCCAAGAATTGTTTTTGCCAAATATTTCTGGAGTCCACCCCACTAACAATTCAAACAAGACGATTATGAAGGGTCTTCAGCCTAAAATGCTGCAAGGGGTTCTCTTCGACCTTCCAAAGGGCAAAGAGACGGAAATGTTCGAAGCCCACTGCCCCTGACCCTCCCCCAACAGCCCTCGTGCCCCTCCTTCGCCTGAAACAAGACCTTCATGTTGGCCAGAATTCAAGAAACGCGAATTGTCATATTGCTGCAGCACTTCTACTCTGCTGGCCTAGCAAAATGATGGACAAATTGCTGCATGATTCGCGCGCAAAGATCAACTTCCTTGAACAGGGATCCTTTCATTTTACACCTGCACATTGCAACTTGCAAATGGCGGTTTCCCTTTATTTTGGTGGAAAAAGCAACATGCTTCAAATGGGGAAAATGAATTTATTTTAAGAAGCCCTGTTGAACAAACTTCCTTGAACAATCCTGGCACCGGACCTACTGGGTCCTGAATCCTCCCCGTGCAAGCTACGAACTGCTGTGTAAACAGCCAGCTGAAAACCGGATGGACCATTGGCCCAGTGGTGGAAGCAGCGCTCCCTATATTTCCCCTGAAAACATCACCCCCACCAAGGAATACTCACCTTTCATGGGCCAAAAAGGTGATGTCTAAAACCACCAACAAGGGAAATATAGGGACCCGGTGTCCTCTTGGATGATACCCTTGTTGGGGTTCTTTGGACAAGAAACCAAACGGAAACCCACTGCGACAAAATGCGGGTTTCTCCCTACGCGGAGGGTTGGAACTAGATAATAAACCGGCATACTCCATCATCAGGTCACCTACCAACCCATAACCGGTTTTCTTTTTGAAGACCCTTGTATTGGGGTTGTTTGGAAAAGAAACCAAACGGAAACCCACTGCAACAAAAAAGGTTGTTCCCTCAATCCCTACTGAGCCCAGCCAGCAACTTGGCTCGTCTCGGCTGTCGCGTCGCTTGGGCTCCCGGCGCTATCGAAAGTGGTGGAGGGAGATGAGATACACAGCCCCCACCGAGTGTCTTGAGCCCAGACCCCACATTTGCCTCTCTAAGGGGCCCAACAGGCTGAGTGCCATGTTGGTGGAATGGCGTTGAGGATCCTGGGGGGAAGACGGAGTAAAGGTTTGTTAGTCCTTTATGAGCCAAGCGTGGGTAGCAAAACCCATGGCAAAACCCATTGATGAGAGTCGCAGTGCCCATTGCCCTTTCCAGAGCCTGGACAGGAGGGACCCAGATTTTCCTCTAAGTTTGTCAGTTGTTTTGAAGGTAACATCCCAGCTGCCGCTCCTGTGAAAAATGTTTGAGCGCAAAGTAAGACATGCAACGCAAAACCAGCCTAAGACGAACGCGCGACCCTCTGTGAGCCCAGCCCGATGAGTCGCAGTGCGTTGATTTCTTTGCATTGTGAAGAAATGAACAAAAAAACACCCCACTGCAGACCTGCATCCTGACATGTTGCATACGTTCAATCAGATTCAAATTAGGTGGCAACAAATTTAAAGTCGGGAAGCCACATGACCAACCATTGGGTCTTGATATGCCCCAACTATACCGCCGATGTCGCTGGCATGAAATCAAGATACTCATTTGCCACAAGGACATGATGTTTGTGAATTCGTGTGAAGCACGCAAAACCCAAAAAAAAACGGTCAGGCACCAAACATCTCGACGAGCCGCGACCCGTGACTTCTGTTTGATGTTCGGAGCAAAAGGGCTAGCAATTGAATTGGAACATGCAGCCTTTTGTTTATTCTATTTTTCTTGGGCGCCAAACAATCACGCACGCGCTTCGGACAATGCTACAGGGGACGCCCCAGAAAGCGAAGCCAGAAACGATTGACATTTTCGGACCTTGTTTTGAGAGGCCTCCAATTCAGCCCTTCAAAAGAACGCTGGCACGACTTCCATCAGCCCCGTCCCATGACTTGCAACTCTGAGGCAAGGTGGCTTTTTTGCGGAAATTCAGGAGGCTTTACGAAAAACAAACAAGATAATCGCCGCGGCTACTTGCGCTTTCCCCCTTGCCAGCCAGCCAGCCAGCAACCAACCAACCAACCAAAAAGCCCACCACGACCAACCTGGGTATGGTAAGTCGCACTCAATTTCGGAACCCTGGCCACCAGTGAGAACGTGACACCTCATGACAAAACTTAGACTTGTTGCCAATGTGCTTAAGACAGAAATGGTCTGGCCGTTGATAGCTGGTTTCCAGCCCAACAGCCAACCGACCAACCAACCAAACCAGCCAATGAACCAACCAACCAACCAGCTTGCAACCAACAAACCAAAATTAAATTCGCCTCGGCCCCAAAGGGGCCAAGGGCGCTCAGATCTCTTCTCCAAAGAGAATCTTCGCTTTTCCCCTCCCCCAACCCCCTCCCCAACCAAAATTTTGCCGGCCCGCCCCCCCCACCCCCCCCCCCCCCATGTCGGCTGGCCCAAAAATCCTGTCCGGCGGGCCTTGAAATTTTCGGGGCTCGTCGGCGTCCAGCTCCATGGGTCCATTTTTGTCGAAAATGTGCTGACAATTGCGAAAATCGAAAAAATTGCTTTTTTGTCCTGAAAAGCATGAACCTCCTGGTGGCCAGGCCTGTCTGACGTGCCTGAGACTAGGCTCAGGCCCAGCCCAACCAGCAACCCGCCTGCTGGCCAGGCCTGTCAGCCCACTTGTCTGAAACAGGCCTAGCCCAAGCACGGCCCCAAGTCATCCCAGCCCAGCCTGCCCAGCCCAGGCCCCTGCGCATCTCAGGGCACGCCAGCCACTGGGCCGGCCCCCAGCTCCCAGCCCACCAGCAGGCTCAGCCCAGCGGTCAGGGAAACTGGTCTCAAGCTATGCCAGCTACTACGTGCCCCAGCCCCTCAGTCCGGCTGCCCAAGCAACTCAGCCCAGGCCTTGACCTCCTGCTCGCGTCTGGCCCCAAGCCAGCCAGCAGGCCCAGCCCCTTCGGCGCAGTCTGAGACTGGTCTCAAAGTATGCCAGCCTGAGACGTGTCTTACGTGTCTGCGACTGGCCTCAGGCCCAGCCCAGCCAGCAACTCGCTACCCAGCCTCAGCCCATCCAGCGACCCGCCCAAGCACAGCCCAGCCCCCAGCCGAAGTTCCAGGCGCAACCAACAGCGAAGTCCGGCTGCCCAGCAGCCAGCAACCCACCCATGGCTTCGCAGCCTCGTGGCTGAGACTAGCTTCAGGCCCAGCCCAACCAGCAACCCGCCTAAGCCAACCCCACCCAAGCCCACCCTGTTTGAGACTCGCAGGCCTCAGCCTATCTAGTGCCAAGACTGGGCCTCACCAGCCTGGGCTCAACTAGCGTCCAGCCCAGTCCGCCTGCTCCAGACCTGTCTGACGTGTCTGAAACTGGCCTCAGGCCCAGCCTGTGGCCCAGCCCAACCAGGCGAGGCCGGCTTGTCTGACTTGTCTGGAGCCAGCTTCAGGTATTCGGACCTTCCCAACACTGGATTTCGGTGTTCCTGACCCTTCCCTCAAACTAGGCTGGGCCGAGGCGGGCAACGCGAAGCGTTTACAATTATCCAATTAGCCAACCGACCGACCGACCGACCGACCAACCAACCAACCCACCAACCAACTTGACGCGTTGGTTGGCTGCTGGGTGTGTTTGCCTTGGTTTGGTTTGGGCTTCGGTTGGTGGAACCAAAGTTTGGTTGTTTGGGCGCGGCGTGTGTAGATGGTTAGCGTTGTTTTTTTTCTCTGAGCGGGTGTGCTTCGGTTAGTAAGAAAAGGGGGCTTATAGTAACATGGTATTTTGCGGTTTTGGCCCGAAAAGGACGCATAATCGGCACTTCTTCGGCCAATGTCATAGGATGTCATGCGGATGTCATCGGATGTCACGCGGTTCCGCGGGCTGGAAAAAGGCACAACATGTCCCATTTCTGCAACTTCTGAAAACCTCGTTGTTTCGCCGAATCTCTCGCTTGAGAGCTGGGCCCTTCGGGGTGACAAGGCAGCCAGGCAAGCATGTCATTGTTTCTGTGACATGTCATCGTTTCTGTGACATGTCATGGGTTCTGTGACATGTCATTTGCCTCGTTTCTGTGGCTGATGTGTTCGCTTCTGCGGCACGCATCATTGATTCTGCCTGAAAAGTTATTGATTCCGAGATGTTGTTGTTTCTGTGACACATGTCTTTGTTTCTGTGACACATCCTTGTTCCTGCCACATGTTGTCGTTTCTGTGACACCTGCAGAAGCCTGATCGCGCCCGGCACAGGGCGCTTTTAAGACTGCTGCCGAAGCAGCGCAGTGACTGCCACCGGAGTCTCCGACGCCTCACTTTGTGATACTCGCACGTTTTCCGCAGTGAGTTCTCCGACGCCTCACTGTGGCAACCGCACGTTTTCCGCACGCCTCTGCCAGGGGCGACAACAATGCGCAAACGCTGCCACCAGGGCCAGAAGGGGTCGTGTGAAATTACAACAACTCAAGTGCTTCGATTATAAAATTGTAAACAACCAAATGGGTTCGAAACAGACACACCCCACGGGGGGTTGGTACTAATGGGTCACTCCTAAGAAACATGATTAAAAGACCTGTCCCAGGAACATTCCGCAATGCACGGCAACTGGCCTTGCTCTACCATATTGCTTCCGCAATCTCCGGAGTTCACCATCCAATCTCCTGTGTGGGACAGGCCATCGCCCTTCCGATGAAATAGCCCACGGGGGCTTGGTGCTGGCGATGTGTCGCTGTCTCGTCCAGATGTGGCACGGGCGGCCCTGCTTTCCCTGCTCACCGTTTTTTGCCCCTAATCCAGCACCGCCAGTTAAAGGTCCCGCGCACTGCTCCTAGCACGAAAAACCCAGAACCCAAAAGCCGACAGCAAGGCGCACACCTTTTTTACCGGGTTGCTTGGGAAGGTGGAAAACAATGTTGC